ATGTTTCATGCATATTACGCTGGTGTCTAAATTTTATGGCTTCTCCTGCCGGCAGAACTCTACCCACTTTCTGGCCAAGGCGTCGTCGCGGGGAAACAAAAAAAATGCATTTGGGGGCTTTACCCCTACGGCTGCTGCAATTCAACACACGACATTTTTATAAAGTTTTTATTACAAATAAAACGTTTTTTACTTCAGAACACACGAATTACTTCGATTTTTCACTTGAAAGTACACAATACGTTTGCATTTGTTTCTAAACAAAAAGTTTGTTTACGTATTGCCATAAATGTCAAAGTCGGCAAAACCAAAGGAGCGGTTTCGGGAATGCGCCACCTTCAGTTCATCTCACCAATTCGGATAAAATCGAATTTTTCTAGAAAAAATCGAACTTCATATTGGCTGCGTTTCTTTATACATTCCGGATAATCCAATTTCACTGCCGGAATAAACAGAATGCGTTTGAAATATACGTCAACATATCATCAGGAACGTTCTAAAGAATAAATAAACAAAAAAGTTTATTCCAAACGTTCAGAATGAATAAAGAAATGCAGCCATTTATTTCCAAAAAAAGCAATTCTTCAACTTTTTAGTGGTATTCATCTAAACCGATAACTTTATCAAGCAGATAATCTTATAAGTTTATGCACTCTGTTACATGAACGACCCATACTCTCTTTTCGTTTACACATGCGACAATAGTCGTGTTTTCTTTGGTTATAAAGCGCAGTGTCACTAACTTTATACTACTAGCACGGGGATAAAGAAATTATAGAAACTACCTCACTAAATTGGAAAAAATTATATTTACGAGATAGCTATTTAAATAAATGTACATATAACATAAAGGCTATTTATTTGAAGCAAGTTATAAGAAACAATGGCAGAATGTCTGGTTGTGTATGAATTCATTTATCACGGCTACCAAACTTTGCGAATTATCAGTGAAACAAAACAAACAGACGGGATAATAATTGAACCAGATCTCTATCAGGATCATATCGTTGTTGAATTTGCGTGCAAAATTTGTATGCGGATCCCGATTATTGCCTAAGAAAACATAGCTAGAGTTGCGACAGAGTTGCATTGTCTTCAGTTTATCAAGTTTATTCAGTGAAATCGCTGGATAAATTTATCAGAAATGTGTAAGCGAGTTTCCATACAAATTTTGACAGTTCATTTATAAGGTTTACACAATTATAAGTTTATAGGTTTACAATGCATTTATAAGGTTTGATGAATACCCTTTTTGTTTCTGACTAAATTTGCCATCACTGTGTGTGATACTCCATTTGTCTTAGGGACAGTGTTGCCGTTTTAGCCCTTTGGTGGCTAAATTTGTAATTTTGTAAAATTGTAAATTTTTAATTTTTTTAGCCCTTTTCAAAATTTATTCATCATTGACATTAATTTTTTTTTTAATGATTTTCATGAATTTAAATCTTCGCTCATAAAGCGAACGCCTTTCCTTTAAGGCAAGTAAACATATGTCTATGTATGTTCTTTACGTTTCTGGGCCGTTATCTTATCCGTTAACGATTTAACTATACATTAAAATAGGTAAGTTGGCGGCCCTTAATATGCTTTACGTGTTACACAAAAAGGTCTTTTGTTGAATAAAATATTAATTCTTTTCAGAGTTCATTGTTTTTCTATACCAGTAATTATAGAAAATGTTTGCGTGTATACTTACATATTTATACTAGCAGTACCCCGGTGTGCTTCTCTACACCAAATATTGAAAAACGAATGAAAAGTCCTGGAATTTTTCTACATGAAAATTTATCATGTGTTTTATTTCAAAATTTTTGATTCTTTATTTTAAATCTTAATCCAACCACTTTACGGACCACTTTTAAACACGACATGTTAAGTTGAAAACGTTGAAATACCACAAATTACAAATTAAAATCGGAGGTAAGCAAGCATCGACCACTTTCTGCAGGAAAACATGCGCTGCGACAAGATATTATCACTTTTTCGGCACCTGCAATACAAACACAAAAATTCTAAATAGTTAATTAATAACACCTATTCTTTTGAACACTTTTCAAGAGTGGTTGTATATTTTTTGTTAACGTAGTGCTTCATTTGCTATATTCAAAGATGGCTTGAGAAATTGGTGAATCGAGAAGAAAACACGTTTTCTCACTTCAAATTCACAACTGTCAACTCATTGTTCTTCGCCATATTCTTTGTTTACCCGTTGCCACAAATGTCATTCTGCGGGAATGCGCAATCTTGTATTCTATCGTTCTTGCGAATTTGAGCAACACAAAGTTCGATTTCAAAAATTCGCCATTTTGGAGCTAAAATTCGATTAAAATTCGAATATCGAAGCTTCGAATATCGAATTTACCCATACCTAGAAAAGATTCTCTCAAAATATTTTGCAGGTGTAGACTTTTACGCGCGTCTGCGGTTTAGGTGATATTGAGAAATACTTTTACTTGAAACTATGTCTGATTCAGACGAACTTAAATCCAGCGATCAGGATAAAGACTTTGTTAACGATGTGTCATATAATAAAGGTTAGTTTGTATTCATAATAGGTGTGCCAATTTTACGAACATATTCTACAGATGACTTGCTCAGTGGGGAACTAATTATTGAAGAGTCCGAAAATGAAAGTATGTATTTTTGTTATACATAAATATGCCATATTCATATACCTTGACTTAAAGTGAAACTATCTTTGCGTTATAGGTTCTGAAGAAAGTATTATTATTCGAAAACGCAGTAGCAATGGCTCCAAAAAAACGCGTGCTGTGATTCCGTCGGAGTCCGAAGAAGACGATGATGAGTTCGAGAGACGGGCCCTATCACCGCGCACTCGGATGAGTATCACTGGTGTGAGGCCATCGGATCTTTCTGATTCTAGCGAAATTGAGTACTCCGACACAAAATCAGAAATAGCTGGGGTTTCACCGGAAAGATGTGGAAAAGTGCAGGATCTGGAAAAAACCACGTTTCAAGATAAAACCATATATTTTAGAACCCCGAGTACTGAAAATAAAAATTCTTTCCTTCACCGTTCGGTCTCTGAACAAAATGTAAAAGAATATTATGTCGGAGAAATGGAAAAAAGTGATAGCTATGTGTGTGAAAGCAGCCCGGAAATTACAGAAACCACAAAAGCACCTGACCCTATTTCTGCCACTCCAATTAATCATAGGATTGAACGGTTTGGTGCCGGAGCCGAATCGCCTTTGAGCTCCGCCAGATATAGTATTCAATTTGAAAAAGCCATTAAAGATAAGTTATCATCTACCATGTATCAGCCAAGTTTAAATGATACATATCGCTCCCAAGGAGATGCCTCTGATGAAAGTGATGTCCAAGTGATTAGCTTAAAGGAGAAAGCAATAGAAATCGGAAGCAGTAGTGATGAAAGTAATGCAGAAAATTTATTGCCAGAAGTCAACATGCCCAACTACAAAAAAGCCGAGCTGGTTAGACCTAGCCCTTATTTATGGCAACCGAATATTTTAACTAAGTTAGATGCAAACCATGCAGTTGGATCTACGGTTAAAAGTAAAGACACAACCAGTCCTAAGCAGCTTGTCTCGAAAGAGTACTTTGACAAAGAATTAAAGAAGCTCCAAGAACTAAAAATCGAGCTACAAAGTGCCGAAAAATTACTTGAGAAAATATCAAGTAGTTTACCTGATGGAGGATGGCAGCTTTCTCTACGAATTGAACGCTTACGCAATGATGTTCATATTAAGTCCCAATATCTGAGTACCCTTAAAATAGAAGATGACGGCATATCAAGCTCTTCCCAACCGGAGGTACAACATCAAAAAGACCCACTTAGCTGGGAAGATCTTTCAAAAGCTGTTAATCAAATGCAACCCACGCACACGGGAAAACAAGGTCTTGCCACATTTAATGCTCAACGGGAATTAACAGTGGAATGCCTTAAGGTCTGATCATGTTTTAGTATTCAAATTAGGCCAAGATCTATGCTTTTCTGTTTGATGAAATATTTAGGACAGATATCTGAGAAAATGCAAGCAAGCATGTAATTGCATAAGTTACACTGCATAACATGCCCAAGCTTCGCATTTCTTGATTAAAATCTTCACACATACATATATATGTATACTGACACGTTTTCTGTTGCTATACAACATTTTATAATGCATATTTTATTCATATTACTACATTTCAACTATTTCAGGATATTCATAGCTCATTGAAAACATGCCCTGCCGAAAATGTACTTGCTGATGACCCTATTGGCTTACGAATAAATCTTATGGATCACCAGAAACATGCACTTGCTTGGATGACTTGGAGAGAAAATCAGAAACCGCGTGGAGGAATTCTTGCTGATGATATGGGCTTAGGAAAGACACTAACTATGATATCATTAGTACTTGCTTCAAAACACTGTTCAGAGGCGGAAGAAGCGAACGAAAGTGACGAGGCGAGTGATTCAGAAAAAGAAAATCGAGGGTGGACATCAAAAGGTCGACGAGACTGTACGTATATTTATAGAAGATAAAAGAGATATTTTCCAAAATTAAAACAAAGCCATAAACCTATTATTGATCTAAAAGTTATGTTTTAAATATCCTTTCTAAATCCAAGATTTCTCTTTTTCGCTCTCTAAAATAGTTTATGTTACTAATCGTATTATTTTCAGTCTATCCGGGGGGAACTTTAGTTATTTGCCCTGCGAGCTTAGTACGTCAATGGGAAGCAGAAGTTGATAGCAAAGTTAAACGCCACAAGCTAACTGTATGTGTTCATCACGGTAACAACCGCGATACCAAGCCGAAACACCTTCGCACATATGACATTGTTGTCACTACGTATAACATTGTATCCCGTGAGCAAAAGTCTCAAGGTGCTCTATTTGGAATAAAATGGCAGCGGATAATTCTTGACGAGGCGCATGTGGTACGCAACCATAAAGCGCAAATGTCAATAGCTGTGTGTGCACTACGTGGAAAATACAAATGGGCCCTAACGGGTACTCCAATTCAAAATAAAGAAATGGATGCATATGCACTAATAAAATTTTTGCGTTGTTCTCCTTTTGATGAGCTACCCCATTGGAAAAAGTGGATTGATAACAAAAGTGCTGGAGGACAACAGCGTTTAAATGCTCTAATGAAAACGCTAATGCTTCGACGAACTAAAGTAATGCTTCAAGAGAGAGGAGCGCTACAATGCTTGCCAGAAAAAAGTACAGAACTGATCGAAGTATACTTGGATAAAGATGAGATGAATGTATATCAAAAAATTATGGTTTACTCACGCACGTTATTTGCACAGTTTTTATTACAAAGAGCAGAACGCAATACTGATTATATGTACAAAGAAGACAGTAACCGTCCTACAATTGTGCAGACCAAGGATCCGAACGGTGCGTATTACAAGGTACATGAGAAATTCACCAAACTGCATCGTGGGCAAAAGGATGTGAAATCACATGAAATTTTAGTGCTATTGTTAAGGTTACGGCAAATCTGTTGTCATCCAGGACTTATTGATTCGGTATTACACAAAAAAAAAGTTCCATTAACAAATTTGAATTTAAAATAATTTTAATATTATTAGATGCTCGACGATAGCGACAGCCCTGAGAATACGGAAGGTGACAGTGAAGATGAAAAGTTAAAAATTGATTTACTTGAGCAGTTGAACAAGTTAGCAATTAATGACAGTTCTGAAAATCGGAGTTTAGAAGGCGATGAAGGGCTTAAGCCTGAGGAAGAAGTTATTGCGAAGGCTTCAGCGAAAGTGTTGCAACGTAATAATCCAGTGTTCAATATAAATCGACCCTCTTCTAAAATTAAAAAGGTTCTCGAAATTTTAAAAGAGCATGTACTCAATAGAGATGACAAAGCAATTATAGTCTCACAGTGGACAAGCGTTCTTAATATACTGAAAACGCATTTGCAGCAACAGGGTATACGTACGTTGTCCCTTAATGGAACTATTCCTGTTAAAAACCGTCAAGGAATTGTTACAGAGTTCAATAACGCCAATAATGACAAGCGTATTCTTCTCCTTTCACTGACGGCAGGAGGAGTTGGATTAAATTTGGTCGGCGCTAACCACTTGTTAATGATCGACTTGCATTGGAATCCCCAATTAGAGGCACAAGCCCAAGACCGAATATATCGTGTCGGGCAAAAGAAAAATGTGGTTATTTATAAATTCATGTGCAAGGACACTGTGGAAGAACGAATAAGAGCTCTGCAGGAGCATAAAATGTCAATAGCAGATGGTGTACTTACAGGGGCACGTTCATCGGAGGGTAGCAAACTTACTATGGAAGATCTTAGAGGTCTTTTTGGCATGTAATAAGTATTTCCACAAACAGTCTGTATTTGTATGTCAGTATTTTTTAAAACGCAAATAAACTCATATATAAACGTTAATTAACAGCATGGCGCAATAAGCAGGTGAAGTAATAAATTAGTTTTCTCCCTTTAAAGCCAAATTTTCAAATAAGGCGGTGTCAAAATCTTTATTCTCGCTCTGTTCATTGCGTAAGTCGTAAATTTGGCTGAATTGTACGACTCGACAACATCGGCATTGCGTACTGTCTTGCTGAAATAAGTAAACGACAAAAAGCGTCGAAAACTATGCAGTGCTGCCCAGTTTTTCTGTTTTAATGCACTAGTCGAGTCGAAATTTTAGGCAATGACATGAAATTTTCGATACGATGCGACTCGAAAAACGACTTACATTCGATACGACACTCGCAATGATGCTGAATACCTCAGTCGTTGTCGTCAAGCTCCACGGAAGCCCTAAGGAGCGTGCAGCCTCAATAGGGTTGGTCCACAGGGTGTCCCGTGGTTGTGCGCCTAGAATGGCATTCACAGGTCTGGAGTCTACATAACGAGACTGACTCCCTGTGAATGCCGCTCAGGGTCTGTCGATAAGCTGACGGGTCCAGAGGACTTCGTTCGTCAGTTCGTAGAGATGCCTCCTGACGTGCCTGGGCGAGGGCTCATCTGCAAGTAGTTGTCTATTTGGGTGACCACGTCTATGGCTCCCAACTAGAAACTGCTTGCATAGCGTTGTGTTGTGCATTGTGTCGGGTGCATTTTCGCCTCGTCGTGCAGGTGGTGTTCTAGTGACATCATAGGCATCCAGTCGCTGTCCGTAGTGCGGTGCTTTGAGTAGTCTGCAGCTTCATCCACTGCGTCCTACTAGTCCCCGTTGGCCACACTGGTGCTGCGTGATTTAAAACCGGCTGCCTATTGCCTTGTATGTTGCATGCAACGTTTCTTTGTCTTTGCCCCAAGTACTGCCGGCTAGCGACTTGAGGACCTTGTTGCGGCTCTGTACGTTGTTTACAATAGCGGTTGCGTGCGCAGAGAAGGAGAGCAGACTGTCGAAGGATACTCCGAGTATTTTGGGGTTATTCACGTCGGAATTGTTGTATCATCGACGTGAATTCCTAGCGGTAGCCTGATCTCCTTCGTCCAGGTGGTGAACAAGGTCGCAGAGGATTTTGTAAGGGAGAGGGTTAGGCTCCTTGCAGTGAAGAAGCGAGAAAGCCCGGAGAGATACCCGTTTACTTTCGAACACAACTCATCGACTCCATTCCCAGACGCCTTGATCGAGCAATCGTCAGCGTAAGAGACAATCGAGACTCCCTCTGGTGGTTGAAGGAGCTTTGAAATGTAAAAGTTAAACAGTAGTGGGGAAAGGACACCACCCTGTGGAACCTCCTGTTTTATTTTTTTGAGTTTGCTCGATTTGTATCTTAACATTACCGACGAGTGTCCACCACTCATATAATTCGCTGACCACCATTTGAGCCTCTGTGGGAGAGAGGAGGCCTCTTATCTCTCCTAGTAGCATTGAGGGGCTGACGGTGTCAAACGCCTTTGACAGGTTCAACGCTACTAGAATAGTTCTCTCACAGGGCCACGTGTTATCTGCGTGTTTATGGCGTTAAGTGCTGTTGTTGTACTGTGCACTTTACGGAAACCATGCAGATGCTTCGCTGGGGTCAGGTGTTTCGTGAAATACGGGAGCAGCAAGGCCTCTACTGTCTTCGCTACCGGGGAAAGGAAAGTTATGGGGCGATAAGACTCTCCTTTGTTGGCTGGTTTCCCCGGTTTGAGCAGTGGGACCACTCTCCCCATCTTCTAGGTGTCTGGGATAACGAGAGTGGCCATTGACATATTGAGGAACTCCGTTAGGTACGTTACTCCCGCAGGACCCAAATATTTCAGCTTCTACATGCATATTCCGTCGGGACCCATGGCTTTGGAGGCTTTCGCCACCCCGATGGCCACCTGAACTTCACTGCTAGTAAGCTGGAAAGCAAGGGGGGCAGAAGTTGGCAGTTTGTGCAGCCTTCTGGTCACTCGAGCTTGGCTTTGTCCGCCGGAGGATGCAGTATGAACTGCCGGCTAAAATAGCTGGCGCATCGCTCCGGGTCCGACGAAGCATGGTCGCCGAAAGAAATTTCGATGCTGTCGTCGTACTTTGTCGGATTGGAAAGTGACCTCACGGTTGACCAAAGCTTACTCACATCAGAGGTGAAGTTGCAAGTCTTCAGATGCTCTTCCCACTTTTTCCGATTATGTACTTTCACAAGCTGATACGCTGTTTATCAGACCAACGCTGATTATTGTTAGGTCTGGTGAGATGCAGCAGCTGCCCATAATCATTCCCACGACAGCCGGTTCTACGTACCGGAATGACTCNTCTGACGAAGGTTGTCACGCTCATCGGATAGAACAGCCGCTTCCGCAGGGAAGTTTGGATGGGGGTCCGTTATGCATCCTGCCGGTATGAAGCGAGCTGCAGCAGCAGTGACACACCTGCGGAACTTACGTTTACCAAGGTGGACGTCGGTTGGTGTGGGGAGCGCAGCGAAGGTGCTCTCAGTAAATCCCGCGAAGCCTTTCCAATCAGCTTTAGAAAAGTTGATATAGGTCCGGTGTTCCGCGGAAGCAAAGTCGGTTGGTTTATCAGTCGAGATGACTATGGGCAGATGGTCTGATGGCAAAGTCATCAAAGGTCGCCATGATACGCTGTTTATCAGACCAACGCTGATTATTGTTAGGTCTGGTGAGATGCAGCAGCTGCCCATAATCATTCCCACGACAGCCGGTTCTACGTACCGGAATGACTCCGGTTTTACCCGACCCAGGGCTTTTGTTTCGGCGATCTAACCGTTTACAATAGGCTGAGCAGATAGACGATTCGACATTCTGCACAATGAACGCTGACGCACCCACCAGGATTACGGCAGCTGCTGCAGCTCGCCAGACCTAACAATAGTCAGCGCTGGTCTGATNATGCAGCAGCTGCCCATAATCATTCCCACGACAGCCGGTTCTACGTACCGGAATGACTCCGGTTTTACCCGACCCAGGGCTTTTGTTTCGGCGATCTAACCGTTTACAATAGGCTGAGCAGATAGACGATTCGACATTCTGCACAATGAACGCTGACGCACCCACCAGGATTACGGCAGCTGCTGCAGCTCGCCAGACCTAACAATAGTCAGCGCTGGTCTGATGAACAGCGTATAAAGGCGACCTATGCTGACTTTAGCATCAGACGATCTGCCCATAATCATCTCGATTGATAAACCAGCCGANGTCGAGATGACTATGGGCAGATGGTCTGATGGCAAAGTCATCAAAGGTCGCCATGATACGCTGTTTATCAGACCAACGCTGATTATTGTTAGGTCTGGTGAGATGCAGCAGCTGCCCATAATCATTCCCACGACAGCCGGTTCTACGTACCGGAATGACTCCGGTTTTACCCGACCCAGGGCTTTTGTTTCGGCGATCTAACCGTTTACAATAGGCTGAGCAGATAGACGATTCGACATTCTGCACAATGAACGCTGACGCACCCACCAGGATTACGGCAGCTGCTGCAGCTCGCCAGACCTAACAATAGTCAGCGCTGGTCTGATGAACAGCGTATAAAGGCGACCTATGCTGACTTTAGCATCAGACGATCTGCCCATAATCATCTCGATTGATAAACCAGCCGACTTTGCTTCCGCGGATCACCGGACCTGTCAACTTTTCTAAAGCTGATTGGAAAGGCTTCGCGGATGTTACTGAAAGCGCCTTCGCTGCACTACCCACACCGACCGACGTTCTCGTAGGTGAGCATAAATTCCGCAAGGTTGTCACTGCTGCTGTAGCCCGCTTTATCCCAGCGGGATGCATCTAGGACCCTCGTCCGAATTTTCCTGCTGAAGCGGCTGTCCTAGCCGATGAGCTCGACCACCTTTGTCAGGTCGATCCCGGAGATCCCCGTATTAGGGATCTCAACTCGGAGATTCGGCAACTTGTGAACGTACATAAGCGGAAGGAATGGGAAGAGCATCTGAAGACCTGCAACTTCGCTTCCGGTGTGAGTAAGCTTTGGTCAACCGTGAGGTCATTGTCCGACCGTACGAAGCGTGACGTCAGAGTTGAAATGGACTTTGGTGAACACGCTTCGTCGGACCCGGAGCGATGCACGAGCTATTTTAGCCGCCAGTTCATCTTGCATCCTCCGGTGGATAAAGCCAAATGTCGAATGACTGCCAAAACCTAGTGCGCCTCTTTTTTTCACCAGCGGTGAGGTAACAGTAGCCATTGGGAAGGCGAAAGCCTCCAAAGCCATTGGACCCGACGGAATATGCGTGCTGATGCTGTAAAATTTGGGTCATACGGGAGTAGCGTACCTAACGGAGGTCCTCAATTTGTCAATGGCCACTCTCGTCATTCCAGACATCTGGAAGATGGGGAGAGTTACCACGGAGGTCCTCAATTTGTCAATGACCACTCGTCATTCCAGACATCTGGAAGCTGGTGAGAGTGACCCACTGCTCAAACCGGGGAAACCAGCCAACAAAGGAGTCTTATCGTCCGATAACTCCGGTAGCGAAGACACTAGAGGCCTAGCTACTCCCGCATTTTACAAACCACCTGACCCCAGCGAAGCATCAGCATGGTTTCCGTAAAGTGCACAGCACAACAGCGCTTAACGCCATAAATACCCAGATAACTCGTGGCCTAAACCGAAAGCGCCCCTGTGAGTGAACCATTCTAGTAGCGCTGGACCTGTCTAAGGCGTTCGACACTGTCAGCCATTCAACGCTACTAGAAGACAGCCTCCTCTCTCCCACAGGGACTCAAACGTTGGTCGGCGAATTATCTGAGTGGTGGTCATTCGTCAGTAACTTTTAGAGGCAAAGCGAGCATGCCGAGGAAAATAAAACAGGGGGTTCCACAGGGTGGTGTCCTTTCCCCATTACTGTTTAACTTTTACATTTCAAAGTTCCCTCAACCACCAGAGGGATTCTAGATAGTCTCTTATGCTGACGATTGCTCGATCATGGCATCCGGGAATGGAAATGATGACTTGTGCTCGAAAGTAAACGGTTATTTCGATTACC